GACACGTTTTCACTTGTCAAGGAACAAGGGGGGAGGGAGGGGAGACTGGGCTATTAAACCAGATCAATGGGGTGTTTTGAGACACTGCCCTATAAACAGTCATTACACATCCACAGGGCCAGCCAAGTAGTAGAAGAAAGGCCACTTGACTACGCGGCTGATCGGTAATGGCAGAAAGGAACCAAACCTTCAGAAAGTGCTTGCATCCTGCACTAGGATTCTATATGATGCATCACATCTGGCTGGCTGTAGACAGGTGTGCAGCAGAACAATTTACATTTGAGGGGTACAGTGACAAAATTAGGAGGGAGCAGAAGGGTTTGGGAATCTGTAAAATTTCAAGTGGAAAATAACCCTAATCAACACATTTTAATTGGAAAGTATGCTGCAAAGCTTCCAAAAACCCAAAACTTAAATACAAAATTTTCCACATGCAAAAATAGTTGTGTAAAATAAATAACAGTGACTAGGAAATAAATGCATATTGTGCAAGTCATCCTACTATAATGGCCTGAATTGTTAATAAAGTCTACTGAGCAATGATTTCTCTGCAAACGTGCCAAGGAATGGTCCTCTTGAAATTCCTTCAAATATGTTACTTTCAAGAACCAAGAGGATTATGTTTGCTTTTCTTGGTGATGCATTAAATGCCTGTATGGTGTCAGGACACATGTCAAAGCTGAGAATTCATTTTCACACAAAACTGTAGATGCACCAAAGGTGAATCCTGCAGCATACAAAGTGAGCATGCATTGAAATACTTCCTTGTATGTGCACAATGTTCTGATAAATTTGTGAAGAATTAATGTTGGGATTTTGTAAAATTCTACCATATCCTTTTCATTGGATGGCTAAACTGTATTTCTAATTGTTCAGCTACAATGGACGTTTTCACATGGGGCTTTAGGAGGACGCTAGCCGGCCTCCGTCCGGCCCCACTCTGGCTCCATTTCCAGGTCGTTCACATGTGCGCGGCGGCAAACCCCGCCCCTTCCGGTGCCATCCCTGCGTCAGTCCGGCTCGTCGCTCCGTGTGTTCAGACACACAGAGCCCTAAATCCGGCCTCACTCCAGCAGAAAGGCCTCTAATTCCGGCTTCAGCGGCGGAAAGGTAATTCCAGGTGGCAAAAGGAATTAGCCTGCCACCGCCGGAGCCATTCCGGAATCAGCGGCACGAGTCGTTCCGGAATGGCTCCAGCCGGCTTTAGGGACCCCCGTGTGAAAACGTCCAATGCTAGAAATTTAGAGACTGAAGGAAAATTTGGGGGGCTCAGAACTTTTATGGGGTCAATTTGCTCTCATTGTTGGTATACCCCTGGCTGCAGATAAGCCAGAGAGCATACTGCTTACTACTTTAGGAAAACAGTGGCATGAGGAATCATTGTAAAGTTGGCCTTTTACATTTGCAGCTTTGACTTTTGTGAATTTTTAGCGGACTTAATTAATATGCCCTCTCTAAGAATTTCTTGGTCCTCCAGTATGATTCTTCTGGAAGATGAGGATGGACAGCCCCAGCTTTCTAGGATCACATCTAGTATTAGGTGAACAATGTGACCTAGATCATAATTGTGTCCATGTGGGTTGTGCCCTTTTTCAGACTTCAGGAACAAAGCTTGGGAAATTATTAGTGGAAGGGATGACCTGAATACCTCAGCCATTCTAGAAATTGTAGCCTAAAGCTACATATGTAGTTCTATGGTTTCTAGGAGTTGTGATCCATTATAGTAAGTTTTTTCAAATTCTGTTCACAGA